AAGGAGGTTAATTTGGGGGCTAAAAGTTTTTTTTAAAAAAAAAAAAAAAAAAAAAAACCAAAAAAAAAAAAAAAAAAAAAAAAGATTTGAAACTGAAAAATTATTCTGAAACTGAAAAAAGAAGATGTGAAACTGGAAAAAATGTTGAAAAAGTTTCAAGTTTTTATGGTCCCAATTTAGCTCCGTATAAACTAAACCAACATAAAGCGATGTAGTCACGTCTTAGAACAACTCAGCCAACGTCCAGGACGTGAACACAAAACGGAATTGGTGAAGATTTCAGGAACCAAGATGGCGTCTCGGGCCGGATGTTCAGACCTGGTAGAAAGTTCCAGAAAGTTCTCAGCTGTTCTTTCAGCAAATGTTGCACAGATGAGGTGTAAACACTGAAAATGAAAGCAAGCCACAACACATCCTCCTCCTTTCAGTTCACAATAACAGCTGTGCCGCTTTTTATTTGACCACAAAAGAATACACCATTTCTGAATCATAAACTTTGGCTACTTTTGCAGTTTTTTTTTTAAGTTTTTTTGCTCGTTTAAACTTATTCATCTCCACCCAAGTAATTATCCGCTGGATATCTGAAACGAAGGGTTTTCTCAAGCACGCAGTTCATACAGATGGACTGAATGTGAATAATGAAACAAACATCACACGGGACAATTAGCCACGGAAAAATTCTCTCGGCTTGTACAAGTTTGCTGTAGTAGCCTGAGGGAGTGGAGACAGCTGGTTCCACGGCCGAACCTCTCCACCGTGGCCTGCTGCACAATCCCCTCTTTCCTCCACTGTTCCCTCTGTTTGATCTCTCTGTTTTCCCAAAATAAATTGAGACGTTTTCTTCTCCGTGTCCTCTCTCCGTCAGTGCTGGCTCTTCCCCAGCTCCATCACCTGATCCCTGACGGTGAGCTTACCAGCATTAAAATCACGCGACAGGATCCCTCGGACCCACTGGCCATCAGCATCGTTGGCGGCAATGAGACCCCTCTGGTTCGCATCCTCATCCAGGACATCTACAGGGAAGGGGTCATTGCTCGGGACGGCCGCCTGCTGCCCGGGGACATGATCCTGAAGGTACGAAAATGACACAAAAGCTGCGTTTCCATTAAAAATTTGCGCCAAACGTTTGATATTCCGCTAAAGTAAAAAAAATATATATACAATTTCGCAAAGACGGTGTTTCCATTAAATAAGGAATCCACCTAAAGTCACATGTGAATAAGCTTGTTCACATGATAAGTCATTAAAAATCATGGATGTAAACACTCACAGAGATATATTTATATTTCCACCATCAGAGAAGACGTTGTTGTTTTTAGGCATTGGATTAGCAAGCAGCGGATACTTGGGAGTGGCTAGTATATCTAGTATATATTCTCTGTTTTCTGTAAATTTATGCTCGCGATTTTATGATTTTCAACCTGAGGTGAAGCCAAGAGGCCTTATAAGGACATTGCTGCTGTTTACAAACGGCCGTGTTGCATCAAAAGTGTTCCCGCTGCAGTTGGGCAAAGTACACCAATTTAGAAAAACCACCTCAAGCACAAAGACGTATGGCAGTAAAAAAAAAAAACAGTATTTCGATCATGTTACCGTTAAGCAAATTTATTTCCCAATTTGCCAAATTTTAAGGTCAACGTAAGCGCAGCTCCCGAGAATCGAGTCGAGCTGTGAGTGGACCGTAACGATGTCCTTCCGTTTCCCCTTCCAGGTCAACGGCATTGACATAAGCAACGTGCCTCACTACTTTGCCGTGACAACCCTGAGGCAGCCGTGCCAACTCCTGCGCCTGACCGTGCTCAGAGAGCAGCGGCACCGCTACCGTTCGCACTCGCACGGCCACGCTCACGGAGCCGGCGTCCACCAGGCTCTGGGCCCGCCCCACCATCCGATGAGAGACGACAGCGTTCACGTGGTGCTGAACAAGAACGCTCCGGACGAACAGCTGGGCATCAAGCTGGTGCGGCGAGCGGAGGAGCACGGGGTCTACATCTTCCACCTGCTTGAGGGAGGCCTGGCTGCGCGTGACGGACAGCTGTGCATAGGCGACCGCGTGCTGGCCATCAACGGGCACGATCTGCGCTACGGGGCACCGGAGCATGCCGCCTTGCTCATCCAGGTCAGTCAGGATGGACACCAAGCATTAGCTTTGTTTGGAAAGTTCACAGACAACACAATTATAATTGTGATTTGATAATAATCTGATTATCTGATTAACCAGATGCAATTAATCATGATTCAACAAGTAATTGTCATTAGTCAATTAATGAAATAATTGGCAACTAATTTAGTCATTGATTAATCGTTAACTGGAGTATACAGAATTTAAAAAAAGGCCATTTGCTGGAAGAGCACCCTCAGAGTAGCTACTAAACCAAATCTGTAGGAAAAATATATTCACTTGCATTAAAGATTTTTTTTTAATCTTTGTCTGCAAATCTGTTCTACCAAGAGAACAACTCAAGTGACATAGTTTTAGCATCACCCGGTTCAAATGCTGTGAAAAAAATAAAATTCTTATTAAGCACCTTCTGGTATGCAATTATTATTGGTTAATAATCAAGTGTGTAACTAACGGAATGTCATCTTATTGCATTTTAGGCAATGAAATATTTATATTCTTATTTAAAAATAAGTTTAATTGTTTTCTAATATTGTATAAAAAAAGGTCTAAGTGGTTTTAAATGAAAAATCTGTAGAATGTACCTTTATTCTCCCCTGTGATTAACTTATTAATTGTCTAAATAATCTGTCAGATATTTGATCAACAGAACAATCGATTCCTGAAACAATCGATAGTTGCAGCCATAGCTGCGACACATTCCACCTAAACGTTGTTGCAGACCAGAACCAGCCTGTTTGTTCTCCGCCTCCAGGCGGTATTAAAGATAATTGCGGTGATTCAAGCTAATTGTGTCGAGCTGCGTTGTTGTGTCTGCCTTCGCTGCAGCTAATGCTGTTTAATTGTGGCAACTCCCCTGATGGACATGTGGGTTTTGGGTGGGGGACGGGGGGCAGGCGTGCGGCCGCCTCTGGTTCCTGGTTGATGCCAGCCAGTGATGGCGTGTGTTTGGTTAATGGCGGTTAATTACTGCGTGTTTACGGCTGACTGTGCAGGGTCTCTGGGCTCGGAGTTCCTGTCTGGGCTGTCTGACCGGCTCTTTCTGGGTCTCAACGGAGCCAAGATGGCCTCTCGGAGCGGCCACTTTCTGTCAGAGATTAAGAACTGGCAGGGAAGAAATTGAATTAGTCCAATTAGGGCAATAATGGTTTGGACTGGCTAATTCAGGGCTCAGCGGCGTGTTGGAGAGAGCGGCAGAAATCTCTCTAGGAATACGAGAGCAGGGAGGCGGCTGGCTGCAGCCATCCAGCCTGTCTGACTGACAGGCAAAAGCCTCAGTCAGAAAAAGAAGGTTTTGACGTTAAAGTCTATTTTCGAAATGTAACACAAAAATACGAAGCATATCTCCACTTCCAGAAATTCAAACCTGAAAGCCTGTTTGTTGGTCACTTCAGGCGAGCGAGCACAGTGTGCACTTCGTGGTGTCTCGTCAGATCTGCCTGCCCAACCCAGACATCCTACCAGAGGGGCCATGGGGCATGGACGGCCCCCCACCATACTCCCCTGTGGATATGGAGCAAACGCTGCTGGTAAGAAGCAAACACACACACACACATACAGACATGTAGGTATATATGTGCAGGAGATAGGAGCACTACTGAATACACAGAGAAAACCTTTGTTCCTTTTATAAACTCTCCCTTTCAGGTGCAAATGATCCATGCAGCCGTTCTTCTCCCTTCAAAGTCAAGCATGTCATTCAAAGAGGGCAACGAGAGCGTCTTCTATCCTCACAGATTTGCAGCGTACATATCAGCCATGTTTTTTTTTCTTGTTTTTTTTTTTTTTTTTCTCTGACAGCTACCTAAAGATTCCTATCCGTTCTCTTCCCGTAGTTTGATATAAACCAAGGTGATAGCGGTGCAGACTCATAGTCTGCTACCTTCATTATTGTCGCTCTCGCTGAATGGAGCTTTTTTTTTTTTTTTTTAATAGACAGTATCGAGCCAGAAATTACAATGAGTTTAACCTCTGCAGAGAATTTTGCCAAGAAAAATGCAGGATATGATTTTCATTTGTCTCTTTCAGTGCACGTCTTTAAATTACGGCAAAAAGACGTTTTGGAGCTGGATGGGGCGCATCATAGAACAGAGGCTAAACTGAGGGGTCGTGCTTTCTTTTAACACTTTTAAGAACATTAGTAAAACTCTGATTGCCTGAGTTTTTATCAAGTCGTCATTTGCACAGAACACTGTAGCTTTTCCTAGGAACTCTTAAAAAGTGTCTTTAGTCGAGGGAGAGAAGATCTTGCGGAGATGTGAGCTTACAGTTTGAATAAACACTCAGAAACATTTCTCTAAATTGCAGCGATGGCTTTTTCCAGGAAAGGGTTGAACAGAGAAACATTCAGTCACTCAGGTGTAACTTGGAACCATGGAAAAAAGAAAAAAACAAAATGGAGAACACAAAGTCCCTGGCCGCTGAACATAATGGCTGAGTGTAGAGGAGCAAAATCTTTGCTTTGGTCTCCGTGAACTCAGAGGACAGAGGAGATGTGGTTCAGACACAAAACGGTGACATGATTCAACCGTCGTCGTCTCACTGCGCTGTGGTTGGATTTAAAGAAAGACAAGAAACCAAAGGAGCTGATGCTTACAAATGAACCTTACAGGTGATGAAATGAACCAGCGCTCTCTGCCTTTCAAAATCAGTTTGTCGTGTTTCTAAAAATGAGTGTACGTTTTTATGTGCGTTGAACTGAATATAGGAAACATTAATTTACCTCCAACTATGACTGCGTCCCCTGTGGACGCCCCCCCTCTCTCTCCCCTCTCTGAAATTAGTTCCTGCGCCTCGACTGTAAATTTGTCAATAAGACCAGCAGCTTATTACCTCAGCCTATCATAAAAAAAAAAAAATAAAAAAAAAGCTACACGGACTCTGTTAGGATGTGACAACCTTTAGAGCTCACTAGACACCATTACCGTTCATTAAAAAGCTGCCGCTCAGGAGGGCAGAGCACATGACTCACACTCAGCGCGGTGCGTAGGAGGCCTCTGATTACGGACGCTTTCAGCACAGCTTGAGTCAGCGCTGAGCCCTCGGGTCGACAACGAGAGCTCTGCTGCGAACGCGTGTGAACGCGGCACGCTAGCGTAGCGGCACAGGCTCCCAGCCCGTCGACCCCGACGCGCCCATGTGCCGTTCATTACCTGTCCCGGACATGAGTGAGGAGGCTCTCGAATCAGCTTATCGCCGTACATCATTCCACGGCGGTTACGCTAATGAGGTCGTTCATCATTTACCCATCGCCAAAGAGCGCGTTGTTGGAGTGGGCCCCGTCTCGCGGAGCACCGTGGATGGAAACCCAGATGACTTTTGGGCGTTTGAGAAAGCAGCCGCTATTTTTGTTATTATTATTATGCAAATGTGCTCCTCCGAGTTTTAATTAGAACACGCAGTTTGAATAAGGTGTCCTTGGTGTTCGTTAGCTCCTCGTCTGCTTTTGCTTTATTGTCTCCATCACAAAAAGAAGAACATGTGCTGAAGGAGAAGAGACGCTTAAGACATCACAATGACAGCACGCCGTGTTCCTACAGTCTGAAGAAATGCTTCATTCATCCATATGCAATTTTGCTACTTTTTGTACAATTTTAATTTATATTAATTATTTCAAAAATGAGCTAAATCGAACTGAGAATCCTGGAAATTTCGGGGTGCGTTCACACCAGTTCGGTTTAGTCCGTTTTAATCGAACTCTGCTTCGTCTGTCTAAAAAGCCGGGTTGGTTTGGGGAACCAGACTTTCCCAAATGCGCCATTGAACTCTGATGCAGACCAAAAAAAGCGAACTGAGGGCCACTTGAAAACGAAGGTCTCAGTTCAGGTGAAGTGAAAGTAAGTAAGTGGACCAGAGGTCGCTAATAAAGCAGGAAGCTTTAATTCAGCCAGAGGAGACGCCCAAGTCTAGCGCCAGACAGAGGAATGTCATGTTGTCCTCCTATCAAGGACAAACGAGAAACTTTGCAACCGCTAAAATCTCACTCCACTCCATATTGTTTACATTTTGCGAAGAAGGAAGCTGCGCTCGTGTCGTCTGCAGAGGTTTCCATGTCGTTTCCGTCTGTGGTTCTTGTTGCAGCGCCACCAGAGTGGAGGTAGTGAACAGGCTTTTCAAAGGGTTGGCTTTGTTTCACACAGTGAAACAAACCACAGTGACCTTTCATGACCTCTGGAAACATTTCTTAATATCTTTAAAACAACAGGGACACAAATGGAAAAAAATTTTCTGCACAAAAGTAGCACAAACATTTCACACCATTTTTGTCTGACTTGAAGAGGGCGGGAGGCGGGGGAGGGGCGTGGTTCACTCAGGCGAGTGTACCGGACTTATCAGGCGTTAAAACACCCGGAATCTCAATTCAGGGAAAGTTTGGGATTTTGACCTGAGTAATCTTTAAGAAACAACAACTCTCATGTTGGCCTTTCTATCTTTTGTCCAGGACTCCTGTCAGAAGCCCGCGTGTTACGAGAAGACAGTCACACTAACCAAGGAGCCGTACGACTCCCTGGGCATGACGGTGGCGGGCGGCATGTCCAGCCGAGGATGGGACCTTCCCATCTACGTCACAAACGTGGACCCCGACGGCGTGGTGGGACAGGAGGGATCCATCCGCAAAGGTAACGTCGCCGTCTGCCAAATTTCATGATGTCACGGGCATTTAATTGTGTGGAATCGCTCTTATTCGTCGTGCGTTGTCAGATCAGTGAAACATCCGTGCGGGTGGTCTGTCACGGATGAGCCTTTCTGCAGCGAAGAGCACGAACAAAATGATCGATGACGACTTCACATGAAGCTCCATCATCCAGCAGAAACCTCGGCTGCTCGTGTCGATTATTGCTCCGCAGATTTGCTTCCCTCAAAATGGAAAAAAAAAAAAAAAAAAAAATCATATTACAATATAGGGCAGATTTAGCAAAATAGGTTTTTAAAAAAGTACTGTTGATTTTCTTTTCTTAGTTTGTCATGTTGCAACTGCAAACTAGACAAGGACAAGTTAGCGCACGATCGTGAGTAGAAGAAAAACTAAGGAGAAATGTTTTAACAAATGAAAATCTAACACCCTTTTAATCTGATTCCTTAAAATGAAATGTAGACATTTTTTTAATAACCCATTTTTCCTTTTCACTTCACAATTTTGAACTGCGTATTGTTTGTCCCCTTGATAAGATCAGTTAAAACACATCTCCATTTGCGATGCCGTTGATCATATTGCTGCGCATTTTGACGTTTCAAAATTAAACGTACTCAAAGGAAACACGGCAGTTTCGAAAAACGTTTCATTTTTTCGATAAAAACTTTTAGAACAAGGCGGTTTTTCAAGCCATTTTGAAAATGGTTTATTTCTCAAAGCGGCAACATGAAGACTTTCTTCACATCACACGAGTCACATGATCAGGACCCGGATGTTACCACTGACGCAAACTACGAAGAGGAAAACGACAGGAAGTAGTTGGAGGATCATGGTGTGGCATTCGTTTTAATGACGGGTGAATAACTTATTATCAAAAAAGGGTTTCGCAGATGAAGGCAGGGGAGTGGCAGGTTTTCAGGACAAATTCTGATTCCAGGAATCCTACCTATTACGGTTCCCCAGCCTCAGTCTGAAGCTTCGTTTACGGGAAGAGTGAGACAAATATTGCAACAACGGTAATATGAGGACTTCCTGAAATTAGCAATAAGTCTGTTGCTTTGTGTGCGGTTCAAGGTGCACATTACCGCATTCATTTGGGACAGAGCAGCAGCAGCAGCTGTCTCTGTGTGCTTATGAAAGATGTTTGTGCATTGTAACGGCGCATTCATTTGCATTTTCTCGCAGGCCAAATGTGTCCTTTGTGTTGCTTGCTAGCAAGCCGGTCTGCACCGTCCATCTTTGCATCACTTTCATCATTAACAGGGTTTTTAAAAGCCCACAGCTGGCCTTTGGTTTCAGTGTCTTTGTGGTCCAGATGCAAGAATGACGATGAATATTAAGCAGAAAGAAGATCAGCCCCAGACTCTGATGTCTCACTCGCTCTCTCAAAAAAAAAAAAAAAAAAAAAAAGAGCAGTAACCCTGCGCCGAGGATAAACTGTGCTGTCAACCCACAGGTGACATTTTGCTGAATGTGAACGGCATGGATTTGACGGGGGTGACGCGAGGCGAGGCGGTGGCCAACCTCAAGAACACTTCCTCTCCCGTCGTGCTCAAGGTCCTGGAGATGCGTCCGCCCGACGACAACCCGCCGGAGTTCACGCTGCCGCCGTGTCTCACGCCGTCGCCCACAGACAGCACCAAGAGCCCGCTGCCCAACGACGATTACTCCCCGCTGTGGGTCTCGTGGCTGCAGGTACCCAGGTGAGCGATCCCTCCTGCGATATCTGTCTTCGCCCATAGATTTAAATTTTTTTTTTTTACTTTTTGGTTTCTGCAGCTCCGACGTCTCCTTTTGACCTTCGCCAGCTGGTGCGCGCTGACGTTTAGACAGAAACAGTGGGAAAGAAACGCTCATTATACTTTTAAAGCATTCTTTTTTCTTTTTTATATTCGATACTTATAAATCACTAAAACCTGTGAGAACTGAAGGGTTTTTAATAATACATACAAGGTTTTGTTGTAGTCATGGAGACAGTCTTGCACTGACACAAATAGCCACTTTTCCTTCTTATGTGGAATAAAAAAAGGGATTCAACGGTGCAGCTGAAAGCAATGAATATTTTTTCCTTCTTCACCTTTTTGTAATACATTCAATGTTGGTTTTCCACAAAAATACCTTAGAGCATCAAACTCCTTTTCATTTTGAGCCACATTATGATCAATAATGTTCTCAAGGGTTGATTGCGTCAGAATGTAGCGTATTCCATTAAAAAAATGGTTACATATTAATAAAGAGCCACCTCTGCATTCAATTAGTTCGTCTTAAAAATCAAATGGTGTTCAACGTCTTTCCACGTTCATCAATCCATCCTGGATTTTGTGATAGATTTTGTGAGTTTGAAATACTTGCAAAGAATTCTGCAATATTTCCACTCGGGTATGACTTTAAATGTGACTTTTTACTATTGGTGGTGTTATAGAGGTGTTTCCGTTTAGCCGTGAGCTACTGAAGTGACTGTCTTGGCTTTATTACTCTTCCCGCCGCATACATACTCAAGACGGTTGTTCAGTTTGTTTGTAATTTAAAGGTGAATCTAAGAGATCAGCGTGTTTAATCTCCTTCTTGCCCCACGCAGACATCTCTACTGCTGCAAAGACATCGTTCTGCGGCGGAGCACGTCGGGCAGCCTGGGCTTCAGCATTGTGGGAGGCCAGGAGGAGGTCAACTGCAATCAATCGTTTTTTATCCGCTCCATTGTCGAGGGGACGCCGGCCTACAATGATGGCAGGATAAGGTATTCAGCAAGTGCATCTTACAGACGTCTGACCTTTAGAGCTGCAGTATTCAACTTTTATTAGCAAAGTCTGTTTGTTTTTTTGCATATTTGTTAAAACTGTTACCATGTTGTGACAGTATACTACGGGACAAATCATCTGTGAAGAAATCAAGCTCGTCTGATTTTTGATTTATTTATTTTTTTCTCCCAGTGCTATTTGCGGAAATACACCACTTGGTCAAAAAACACCCAATCATACCCAGGAGGAGGATCTTACCATAGTCAATCAAGCTTGTGTAGGCACTGCTAAATGTGCTGATGGCTGAGAAACAACTTAATGTTACAGGAAAACCGTTAATCCGCAGACATCGGTGGCCATGCTAACTCCAGTGCATACACAAGCTTGATTGACAGCACTAAGACCCTCCTCCTGGCTCTGATTGGTTGTTTCAAACCAAGTGGCGTATTTATGAAAATAGCTCTGGAATAAAGTAGAGGAGCTTGATATTTTTATTTTTTTTTTACAGATTATCTGTCTCATACCATACTGTCACGTACACAAGCTTGATTGACAGTGCTAAGACCCGCCTCCTGGCTCTGATTGGTTGTCTCTAGTTTGCACTGAGAGAAGGCAGAGAAGTTCAATTTTCCATCTCATTACTCTGTAACGACACAGTGACAGCTTTAACAATAAAAAACATATTTGTTTCAGAAAACTTACATATTACAGCTTTATTAAAACCTTTTAGGCGACGCCGAATATAACACGGTAAATTAAACAAAGGTTTGCATTTTCCCTCCTTTTTTAAATTTTTTTTTTTTTTTTATGAAGATGCGGGGATATCCTGCTGGAGGTGAACGGGAAGAGCACGTGGGGGATGACGCACACGGCACTGGTTCGCCTCCTGAAGGAGCTCCGGGGCAGAATCACCCTGACCATCGTGTCTTGGCCGGGCAGCCTGCTGTAAACGGCACTCCCAAGCCATCCGGAACCGCTTTTTATCGACACTGACCGAGGAATGTGGAAGGCAGAGAGCTTTGGACCGGCCGACCACCCTAAGCTCGCTGTGTGGGAAGAGAAGCTCAGGACGGCCGCGCGGACGCCTCGCCGCAGACGGGCTGCTGGGGGGCTTTGCCAGGACTTTGCAGGAGATGCAGATAAGAGAGACTGGATCGTGACCAGAAGGTTGACTTGCCCCCCGCAGTCCCCACGGAAATCCTGAACCGGAACAGATCCGGACCGGACGCCGGACTCTTGTCTTGCTTAGAGGACACTGAACAGCGTCCAGTGAGTCGGGTGGGAGGACAGAAAGGAGACACGACTCGTTGCCAATTTCAATAGATATATATTAGGATAATGCGTTAAGCTGGACTCACATTTCTTTACGTAAAATGTTTGGTGTCTAAAAAAAAAAGAAAAAAAAAAAAGAAGGAAATATCAAAACGAACAAAGAAAATGTACCGAACCAAGCACTTGTAATATGTTTCTTTTGTTTGTCGTATGGCCTTTAAACTTGGGCTCTATTCTGTTTGTACCGACAGTGGTTGTCATCTTCAAGACACGTTGCCAAGTAGTAGTGAGTTTTTTTGTTTTTTTTTCTGTTGTCTCAGAAGCTATGGCTAAGTTATTAAAACCACTGGCAAAGAAAATGTATGAAAAAAAAAGAATCTGTCTTCATAACTTGTTAACAAATAACATTTAAATAGGAGATTTTGTGGAGGCCTTACTAATTTTCTTACTTTCAAGAAGAAAAAAAAAAAAAAAAAACTGACTTGGTTTCTGTGTATCAGTGGAGGGCCTGAGGTCTGTCTGCTGTGGTTCTGTCTGTCACGCTTCGGCCTGTGTAGTGTATCTGATGATGGTACATTTGGTTAAATGCTCAATAAACTCGTTTAAAAAAAAAAAAATTAACAGTTGCTTTTTTTTGTTTGTTTTGTTTTGCAAGCAAAGCTTATGTACAAACCAGAAAAACAACACAATACCATAAAACTCAGGCGTTGGAGAATATAACGAGAACAAATTCATCTTCACGTACAGCTTGACCTGAGATGTAAAGGGACAAAGCTTTTCAGGTTTGGTTGTTCTGAGGGCCGTTGAAATTTTATTTTCTTTTCTCAGTCGCTTTCCGAGCCTTCCCGGCGTCTTTGCCCTTTGCGTGATTGTGTCTTGTCTTCCTGGCCTCCCTGTCGTCCTTCCTGCTGTCGTTGCTGCTTCTGCCGACAGCAAAACAAAAGAATCGTTTCAAAATGGATCTTTGAAAAAAAATGTCGTTATGTTTTGGACATAAAATGTCGACCTCTGCGATGTTTTTCGCAAGCCCTCCTCTTCGTCTTTCTGTTTCTTTTTACTGGCGACTCCTTCGATTCTACGACGTTTGTACTCATAATCTGCAGAGTCCCTGCGCTCCGCCGGCTTCTTCTCACTGAAACAAAGGATACAAACAGGTTTACTGTAGAAAAGACAGCTAACCTGTAAATACAAATCGTGGTTTCAAATTATTTCATTCACTGGAAGGAAAAACATGGGCCTTTGCTGGCAAAAAGCAAATCACCACCATAATCAAATGGCCGTGTCACAATTGGTTCCCGTCGAATGTTGCCCACTCCTGGTTCCCATTACTGTAAAAACACAAACTCTTACCAAGTATTTTTGGTCAAGTTTCAAGTGCAATATATTAGTAAACTTGAAATAAGATCAAATGAAGTTACAAGTAACATTTCAGGAACTACAGGAGTGCATTTTAGGTCAATAAGTCCTCAATATAGATGAAAAAGTTCTAGTTTCCCTGGCATTTATTTCACTTGTAACCGGTAAGTTAGTTTCGTGATCGTGTCCAGTCGAACTCCCAAATCACGTTCTACAGAGCACAGATCAAAATGGACAAAAAACAAGCAAAACACTGAATTTACTTGAAACCTATGACTGGTTCAGATAAGGGAAACGATATGGAAAAAGCTAATGGCCAACTTTGCAACTGTGTTGGACTAAAAGCAAATTATACGTAATCATGTATATCAGTTTAAAAAAAAAAAAGTAGAGATGAAGAACTTTCATGTGACATTCAGCTTTTGTGTTCACGCAAATAACTTTCCATTCAGCCGGACGAGTAAACAGAGGCAACTAATGCTGTTCAAATTACAGCCTTTGTTTACTATTGTCTGGATGAAGGCTGCAAAAAAATAAATAAATAAACTCAAATGTCATGACAGCTCTACAAATGAGAGTGTTGTCATGCCATTTATCTAGAGAGCCAGACCTTCGTTTGTTGGTGAACACAGCTGTGAGCTCTCAACTGGGGAAATAGAAGTAAACACTTGAGGCCTCACAAAGTTACATAACAGGTCACTGCCACGGTGGGGCACACATTAGAACAAGCGCGCGTGAATAAAAAACTAAAAAGAAAAATTCTGCGAGGGGATCAAATGCGTTTTTCGTGGCGCAGCAATTAAATGGAATCTCAGTTGCAGGCGAAGCCGGTAGAAACTACTCTGAAAGACCTGCAGCTGTAATTGCAGCAACAGGAGGCTCCAAAAGTATTCACTTAGGGGGTTTTATGTATATGAAAAGCACATTTCTACATTTTTATTTGTAAAACTGCATAAAACTGCGTCTGTTTCCTCCCACTTTAGAAATACGCATTATATTCAGCTATGATTTATGCTTAGAAAGTGCAAAGGGTTTGAAAAAAAAATCTGTTTCTGTCAATAAAAGAAAAGCAAAAAATCAGATTAGTAAAGGCCTTGAAAAAAGGGGGACCTCATGCTGCGAACTCCACATTACACTGGTCAGGAGATGAAGGTCGTCAGTCTAACATTCAACCAACTTAAAGTTACCTCAGTCCTAACCTCACATCAACAATTTTCGTAGAGCTGCACGCAAGGTTAAGCATGCATCACAGATTCATAATAACTCAGCGGAGCCACTGCTCCCGGACAAAAGGGCATAACTCGCATGACTTTGGGATAAAGAGAGCAGTGTGTCACATTAAGGCCTGAAACAATTTGGAAAGAGGCAAAAATGAAAACAGATGTGGGTGTAGGAATGCGCTGAACCCAAGACAGGCCCCGAAGCCTGGATGAACGTACATATGGCACAAAAGCAGCTGATGGAAATCTTGAGAGTCGTTTTTCTCGTCCCATGCTGGAACATGTCATGTCTCCAGAATCTGAAATAAAAATCTTGGAAGTAAATCAAGTTAAAGAGCTTGCATTAAAGATCATTTTCGCCAAAAGGTGAGCAAAAAGTTTTATTTTTTCGGAGAGAATTTTTTGTTTTGGTCTTGTTTTTTTTTTGTTTTTTTTTCCAGGTATATTAAATAAATAAAAGAGATACGTTTTTTTCTTAGATTTTTTTATAGCTATATACTAAATAAATAAATATGAATTACATAAAGGAATTTATAAATAAATACATATAAATTTATTAATTAAAAAATTGTAGGTATATTAACTAAATCTGTCGACTTGCTAACTGATAGAAGCTGATGTTAGCATTTGTTACTTAAGAGTTATCGGTGCTCTCATATTGTTGGTGATGAGCTGCGTTACATTTACGACATATTCCAATAACGTCTCCACTGCAGCTTCAAGCAGGACTTTTTGTACTAAACTCCCATCGACTTAAATCAGCAAATTAACTACATGTGCATTTTTTGTTGTTGTTGTTTGTTGTTGGGTCAAACAATAATTTTAAGCTAGTTGAGGAGTCTTTCAGTTTGATTTACACCATTTTGTGTGGACCAACGCCACATAAATAAGCGAACCTAGATGAAAAATGGGTATTGGGTGTCACCGTCGTCTCCCTCACATGCGGCCACATGTGTGCAGGAAAGCGTTGATAAGACAGACAGAAGTGGCGCCAGCGAGAATGAGCCACATTCGCGATCCAAGGCCCAGATTTATGACCGCATCGCAAGTGTTGACCAAATGGCTAATCAGGTGCTCAGCTGGTGCCCATGAAAAAAAAAAAAGGTAAGCTGTGTCAAAGATGTGTAATATATATCGCATCGAATTTTAGCCTCGCGTAATGCATTATCGACGGCGATAAATCAAGGGGCCAGGGTTTCGTAATCGCAACCAAAAACCCAACACAGCCTGAACCCTAAAGTCAACCGGGCCAACGCCTACTGGGCAGCAACCGAGGTGACTCGGTGCAAGAAAGGCGGGTCAGCGAGCGTAAATCTGCCATGTGAAGTCTCCACTCATCACTTCAGTGAACAATAAGAGTGGCTACCAACAAAGAGACGGTTAGCTCCATCTGCTTTCTCTTCATTTCACACACAATTTATTTCCAGTTCGAGGCTAAAAATAGCCCAGACCGCAATCATAAATCAAAGCTAGGCTGAAAATATGCAACCTGTGCCATGAGCACATGCGTGATACAGGAGTCGAGACCACGCGAAGGGGAATGTAGGGCAAACTTGTCAGCCGTGTGCAGATTGTGTGAGCGGTGCTCTCAACCAGGCTGAAGGGATAAGTCCCTTGTGGCATTTACATCAGAATGAATGCGAAGCCGTAGTGGTGAAATCTCCTGAGTGTTTCCATAGTGTCTGTCAAGCACATGCGACTCCTGTTCCTCCTCCTGTCTTATGCGGTTAGCCCGACAGCTTCACAGCTGTCCCTGTGTCCTGCTTTCCTCGCCTGACCCTTGAGGCCGAGGCGTAAATAAGGACTCAGCAATTTAAATAGGAGACTCCCTCTCTGTCAATTTGGGGCGGGGGGGAAAGAAGGTGGAACAGAATGAAAACAATTCATTGACATGGTATGTCCAATTGAACTATTTTGCACTAATTTGCATAAAGTCTGACAAAGCAAGTGTGGCATGCCAATAAAGATTCTTGTAGTGAAATGACAGTGGATAAGCGGTTTCCTGGAACTGTAAGTTTTTACACCATTAGCACATATAGGAGTGTGATTGACAGCGCTAAGACCCTCCCCCTGGCCCTGATAGGTTGTTCTTGACCGGGAGTAGTGCATTTCTTCAGATGGCAATATTAGCTACAGGAGGAGGTGGAGGAGTTTGATTCTTTCAGAGATGGTCTGTCTCATATTATACTGTCCTCTTACTAGACACATAGTGTGCCTTATGTCACTGGAGCGATGAATGAGGAGGAAAATGTGAAATCAGACAAACTCCTGTCACCTCTGACCCTCAGAGAGGAAGAGGCCGAACTCCAGCCAACAGAGCGTACATGCAAATTGTATCTTGGCTAAAATTAGTTTTTACGTCTGTTTATTACCTCATTTTCGCAGCAAATGTTTTGCATATGTTGGCACTCATTTCCCCTCGCCTTGTAATAGTCATCAGGACTTGCAGCTCTTTTGCAATACGTGGCTTTTTTTTTTCTCCCCCCCACAATAGTTGTATATTTTTCCAAGACTCTCCCAGGGTTTATATTTCAGTAATCAATCGAATAGCTGGAATAAAAATC